GTGTAATGTACCCTTCGTGTAATCAGTACTATTCTTATTAGCGAGTTTAGAGCACCATAGTTCGAACACAACATATACTACTTTTTAGCATTATCAACCTTGATATAAATTGAATATGTTGATCTAAAAAGAATAACTCCACTGGAGTATTAACAATGGAATTAGTTTCATTTTAATGTTTATAGTGATAGCAAAAGCTGTTAACGATCAGAGAGGAAGATGATGCTGCAATCACAAAAGCTATGACAACATGAGTACTAAACGCAAAAACCAAAAAGTGATTTTTATTCGAACAATATCAAGATGAAAAAATAAGCCAAATTCAAAAACATCATAAACGCTTTATACAAATATATGCAACAGTTTATTTAACACATCAACTGACACATAAACATCACTATGTAAACGCTGATGCAAAGTAATGGTTTGATAATATTGTTCTATCCTCAAGCATCGAACACTTGTAGATGGTTAACCTGTAGAAGACAAAATACGATTAATATTATGTTAACTTATTATTGCAAAATAATATTGAAACAAAACAAACATAGAGCATAGTATTTTCGGCAAAGTGACACAAAGATGTAAACACAGGTTAATCTGAAATAACATTCGAAATAAGAATTCCTATAAATACTAAACACTAAAAAAATTCCCTGATTTCTAAAATCTCTTGATTTTGCATGATCTTATAGCAAAAAGGAAGAATAAACATCCACACAACAATTGAAATATAGAAACTCAAAGATTTAACCAAGAAACTCAGCCAAAGACAGAATTATTGCAAAAGCAAACAACAACTTAAAATTTCTAGTCGAATAACAAAGATTTGAATAAAACCTGCAGTGAAACCAAAAAGGGATCGGAGCTTCAGCAAATGTCACCCTTTAGTGGAAGAAGAGCTCTCTCGGTGCACACTAATTTAAGATTAGAGAGCGATATTACGCTATTGAGAATAAATTATAAGAACATCATAATATTTGTATACAAATGTGCAACGGTTTATTTAAGACCTTAAGTCACACATAAACATCATTATTGCTCTATATAAACCGAAAAAAAGTGTATTCGCATAAACATACAGAAGAAAGTAAACGAATTCCTTATTTTAATCACATTAAAATTGTCCTTTGTCACTAAATTTATGAAATGGCAAAGAGGATGAGAATATAAAAACAGATACACAAACATAAAACTCACCTAGCTAGACAACAACAAAAAGTTCCCAACAGTTAGCTAACTTTCCGAGCTTGGGATCTTAGTGCTCACAGACAATGGGAGTTGTTTGCGTGTTATCCAAAGACAGAAATACCTATTGAAAAAAATAAATATCTGTAGTTCACATAATACAAAATTAAGGTATACATCGACACTAAAACCCAATTATGCTAATTAAATGTTGCTATTGTTTGAAAAAAAAAAAAAAACCAAAAAAGTAAAATAAATATAAAACTTGCAATTATGTATTTTTTTATTTGGGCTCTATTAGAAAACCCTCTCATTACTTCTTTTAATAGAGAGATCCAAAATATTTCTCTCTATTTGAGAAAAAGGCCACATTTATTTCCAGCCATTATTTGTTTCAGTTTTGTCCTCGCCCGCCACATCATCACTGCATCATGTGCTGGTCATAGCGTGTTTATTTTTTATTTTTATTTTTTTTTTCCAGTTTTATTAATCGACTATGAAGCATGGTCGATTAAGGTAAATCGACTATGAAGCATAGTCGATTAAGGAGATTCTTTAGTTTTATTACTTTTTTTTTTGTTTTTTAATTTTTTTTCTATATCAACTATATTAATCTACTATAATGAAGCATAGTTGATTAAAAATCTACTACTAAAAATAGCAAATTACAACTGCAAACAAATGCAAAATCAACTATATTTTATAAAAACAAAAAATATAAAAACATTATAATTGATTTATACAATTGGAATCAATAAACAAAAAATTCAAAAAAAAAAAAATTGGAGTCGATCAACCTTAATCGACTACCAGAGCATAGTCGATTAGTATAATCGACTATGATGAAGCATAGACGATTAAGAATCTACTACTAAAAATAACAAATCACAACTGCAAAAAAAATGCAAAATCAGTTATATTTTACAAAAACAAAAAATATACAAACATTATAATTGATTTATACAATTGGAATCAATAAACAAAAAATCAAAAAAAAAATGGAGTCGATCAACCTTAATCGACTACCAGAGTATAGTCAATTAGCTTAATTGACTATTGAACATGTACTTAGTCGATTCAGGTTCCAGCTTGCGCGAATTTCTCTACACGCGCCGTCCTCCACCCGATCAACCAGAAAACCATAAATCTGCCTTCCCATCGTCACCACACCGCCACCACATCACACTATTCAACCAATCCCTAACAAGAATAAAATAAATAATTCATACAAAAAAAAAAAAACACAAATTAGCATTTCAATGTCCACCTAAAAAACAAAAACAATTTAAGGTATTTGTCAACCATTGCTCGTAACTCCATAAAAAATTTCTCATGAAAAAATAAACACTAAAAAATAATTAAAAAAACCAACACCAAACACTAAAAAAATAATTAAAAAAAAAAACACAAACAAACAAACAAACAAATACCTTCATCAACATCAATTGCAACAGTGATTTTCTCATGCCTCATCCTCGT